AACAAAGATAAGTCATTTAGATTTGCAAACTGGCTTTTGTCACACAAAGTACCCCATAAATTGTCGGTGAAAGCTGTTTATAAAGTGGCAGGCACTTTCAAAGAAACAATTGAAAGGTAATTGAATGAACTATCTTTGGATTAATCCCAACAAATCAAACTCTTGCTCATTAGGAGAGGAGCCAAAACAGTTTTACCAGTCACCTTCAGAGAGGTTCTCTTAATGACAACGTACTCTCCATCACTGACGACATCACAGCAGCCATGCGTCTTCTTTAGAAGCTGCCATTGTTGATCGTCATCACGCCCAACTCTCACGTGTGGGTGTTTGAATGGGAAAATGAACCAAGTACAATCATTTGTAAATGATTCAAAGCCCTTCCTTATGCAAAAAGACCATATGCAATGTTTAAAAAGAGAGATTTTACTTTTGAAAAATGTGTGCTTATATTACTTTTGATGTCAGCAAGATGTTTCTAAAGAAAGTTGCATCAAGGGCATCAAAAGAATGACGAAACGGTGTATTGCTTATAGAAAAAAGATTATACTCTTCATTTTTAATTAAGTCTAAACCATCAGTTGGAGAAAGCAGGGATATCATTTTTCTATTGTTGAACAAAAGTGAAGCCATGGTTTCACATTTATGGGTTAGGACTGAAAGTGATTCCTACTCTTATGGCTACCTTTACACACAATCAAATAATTATTCACAACTTCTCATACCAGGAAAATGACGTTTGAACATTCAGCAACATAAAAAAAACTATAGGAATTGGTTAATTATTTAAAGTTTGTTTTAATATCTGATGCAGAAAAATGTTTGCTTGTACAGAAGGAGGCAGGACTTAAAACTTAAAGTACATCCTGCCACTAGGGGGCGATAGATGATTCTATCTTACATTAGGGGTTCGAGTTTCTACTTTTCTCAAAAGTCTATAGTCAAAAGAGTTTAGTGACATGCATTACAAAGATGGTTGTTTTGGACAAAGCTGTAGAGAATTATCAGTATTCAAATCAGATCAAATATAAAAAAAAATAAACTTATGACATATCTGTGAACTTTGGCTCATAATTCACCACTAAATCTGAAATGCTACAAAAGTCAAACCATCAATAACACCTTGAAAAACTTGAGGGTGAAAATAGTTGGAATTAAATTTTTATTCAGTATATCATTATTTGGCTAATTTGTAGTTCAACATTCAGTTACCTTTTCAAAGGAATATATTTGAATTGCTAAAACGAATTAGGAGGATATTTATGCAGTGTAAATGCTAGTTTAAAATGGAAAGGCCCTATAAATGATAACATTTTAACCGACACTAAAAGGTTGCGACCATGAACTAATCATTCATCTTTTAATTGCTTTTTGATTTTGAAATCTGATTATTCCACTCAACTGATTTACTCAGTCATCTACTTCAGATTTAACATCCCTTAATGTTATTCCTGTTTACTATTTTTATTGTAACCGTCGGCCATGATGCTCAGAGTATTGTACTACAAGCACATGACTTTTGCAGATTATTACTTGACTGTTTGTTAGCTTTTTCTTTACCTTTTTTGTTGCACTACTCTTAATTTCCTTAAGTGTCTTATGCAAGATCTGTCTGCACTCATTTATTCCTGCAGCAATAAAGTTGCTCCTCTTGGTTTTCAGTACCGACCACAGACAGTAATTGTTGATCATGAAGGACTTGGAAATGTTAATGATCTACCAAAGTACTGCATGTTGCCAGAAAGATGAACGTTTAAGGGCCGTTTCCAGTCGGACCGTTTTAGATGTGACACACACTGACCCGGATCACTTCTATGATTTCATAAAACAAAGGAAGTTATGCTAAATGTGTTTATTTTGATGATTGTCTAGAAATTTTCACACAAATGACTTTAGTGTAGGTTGTGTCTGTAGCATTACTAGCACCTGTTAGCAAAAGGGAGCTAATGCTATTTTGCTTCATGTTACTACAAATAATCATTTCCTCTCAACAGAATATTTTTGAAGTGTTGCTACAAATCTAATAATTAAATACGAATAACTCTCGCTTACACACTATTTTAAAAGTAAAAGGCTTATTACATATTATACTTAAGCGTATATGTATAAAAAATAACGTTATCTCCCGTGTTACGTGACGTTACGTGACCACCGTGGAAGTCGCGTGATGCAAGTCTGTTCTGTTTAACCATATTCTTTGCCAAGGAAGGGCAGTGCCCTTGTTAGCAAGGCGCCTGGCCTCGCAAGACATCGCCTTGCGAGGCCAGGCGCTTGACATTAAGAAACACCCGCAGATATTTGGACACCTCACCTCAGATTGGCTAACACCAACGCGACTCTACCACTGACTTGTGACACTGATGTTTTATCTCAACAAATAACATGAGCCTGAAGGCGTTTCAGCCATGTGGTGAAGTTGCTAATGGTTGGCTTCAACTAGTCAGCTGTTTACTGGATGCTAAACAAACAGCAGCCTTTCCGATTTTGAGCCAAGATGGGTGAGTCCATGAATGTTAAGTGACAATCTGATGTAGATCTATCAGGTTTTTCTAATTCAAGAGTTTCAGAAGCTAATGGCGAAGATAGGTGTAGGAGACTTGTTCAGCCTGCATGAAAAACTATAGAGTGACTGATTATATCAGAAATAATAATTTAAAAATGGGTTTTCAGTTTCCCACACCAGTGGCGGCGCCGTGGGGGGGGGGGGGGGGGGGGGGCTAGGGGTGCTATAGCTATCCCTGGATTAGTCATTGCATCCCCATAGCACCCCCAAGTAAATATTAATTTTTTTTTTTTTTACAAATTTATTTTAATTTAACGTGTGGATGTGATAATATGTAACATACAAAACCAAAATTATCTGTAAATTATCATATAGATAGTAAAAACTTAAACCAAGACAGGAAATTGATGTTAACCTTTGACCTCATTTTCCACCTGCGAACGAGTGAAAGGTAGAGCTAGTGGTAAAATGGATCGGTTTTGGTTGCCCACATTTCCACGGGTTCAGTCAGAAACGAATGAATCTTTGGAAGTGATCTCAGACCCACAAAAACCTATGGATCTGGATGAAGAGGGTCAACCCTCAACCGCCGCAGCAGTCGAGCGTTTTGCCGCTGGAAATGCTAACACTAACGTTAGCTAACCTTGCAACACTATAGATGGTTTTCTGTGTGGCTGTATGTGTTATGATTTCATGGAAAAGTCTGCGATTGTTCATATGTTTATGATGTATATTAATGATTGTTTCAGGTGTTGCTGAGTTTTTGTGCACGCATGTGTATCTGCTAGTGTTGAATGTGTTTTAGAGAACAGTAGGTACGCATGACCACTTCCTTCATAGCACCCTCAATAAAAAGACTAGCTCCTTCATAGCACCTGCAGAAAAAAATTTCTGGAGCAACCACTGTCCCACACCTTTAAGTAAATGCTGTTTGTTAATTTAGTTAAATTTTCTATTTTCTGCTTACCTCTACCAGAACTACATTGTTAATGTACTTGGGAAGGGCCACAGTATCCATCACAAAATTACAAAACCTGAATAAAATATCTTCAGAAATATTATTTAGCATAAATGTTCTATTCTGTACCTTAGAGGTTGTTTTTGAACATCTGGCAATTGTGTGGTTGCATTCACCTGCAACTTGCAAAGAAGTTATAAAGTATATAAGTTTATGCAAATCATAAAAAAGGTGTTAACCACTTGTTAGCTCAGCTTTCCACTATTTTACAAGTAATACACGCCTCGCATTGAATTCATTTTGTTCTCACTGCACCAGAATCTATAATTTTTTTCTACTCTCTCAAAATGAAAGTTTTTCCTCGTGACTTCCCATGTATGTATCCCCTAATCAATAACCGCAAAATGTGTGCAGTCACCTTGGATAAAATGAATCTAGCTATTCTAATCATGTTCTCAGAACCAAACTAGCAAAATGAAATGATGTAACCAGTATCAGCAGAAACAAGGTCTTGGATTCCCCTTGGATCTAAGCAGAGATTGGGCCCCAGGAAATACTAGTCCAGTGGGAAAAGAAAGAAAAGAAAGAACAAAAGATAAATGCTGCAGCATTTTCAGCAATCCAATACATTCTGCAACTTGACTAATATGTTTCATGTATATCATATGATGCTTTTCCAAACAGTGATGGGAAAGAACCACAAAAATATGCAAGTCTAATCATCAGTGGCGGTATGGGTTATCAAGCCAATCACCCCCCCCCCCCCCCCCCCCTACTTCTGTCCCATAGGGAATAAACCATTCCCAGGAACAATAGTGATTCCCAAATAAAAAACGAAGAACATTCACGCTCCAGTGGCATCAATCGCCCCTCATACAGTCACATCCCATCACCGCCGACTATCCCCGGTTCTCCTCTCCAGACCTGCACACATGATCACAAAAAGCTGCCACCACTTGAGCTGGACAACTACTATGGGTCAGTAACACAACTTGGGCCACCTCATCTCATCTGCGACCAAACTAGACGCTGAGCTGAATGTGTAATGTGAGAGGAAGAGGAGGGGAGGGTAAAAGGGGGAGAGAGGACTGAGTGGGATGTTATAAAACCCAGCCTATCCGAGTAACTAATATAACGCGAATGCCTTTAAAACGCTTCCTCTTGCTTGGCGGCGCCTTGCACCGGATACCGGTGTCGGGAGGGGAAAAGAGGTCAAACGTAGAAGAAGACGAGGCAGCTTGGCTTAGTTAAATATTCCGCTGTTAAACCTTGACGCAGGGGATAGTTTGCGCCACGCAGTCCAGCTGCATAATCAATAACATGCACACAAATCACGGAGGCTAAACGCGTTCGCGTTCACACCGCCGTCTTATGTTGGCTCGGCCCAGAATTCAACAAAGCGTCACCTCTCAAGGGGAAAGAGACACATTTATCCTCTTTTTATGTGTGTGAGTGTGTGTGTATCACTCCTCCAACCGAAAACAATAGACATTGTCAAGGCTAAATAAATGATAGCTAACACGTCTGTTTGCGAGTACTCACCGGGTTGACAGTCTTTGTGTTTGGGCAAGGTTAAAAACATTAGGGATAAAATCCACCAGCAACTCGGTTCCCGTATTTTCCGCATGTTAGACTACTCATGGAGAGCAACAAGAAGGCAACGGGTGATTAAGTTAGTCTCTTCCTCTTCTCCTCTAAAGAATGGCACGGCACGCGCACACAGACGCGAAGCTGGAACGAAGTTGGCACCGCGGCCGCGAAGCCAGAGCATCAAAGTAATGGTTCACGGTCACAGGATACAGTCGCTGCGTTCACAAAACGACTCGTTTAAGCCTTTTATTTATTTAGCTTCGAGGAATAAAGCGGTGAGGAGGCGACGGCTGCGCGAAAACAAATCTGCGGTCGGACTCCTCCGTGTCTGCAGCTGCGGGCTTCCAAGATAGCGACATTCCCGAAGTCGATCGGCGATCAATCGTTGTCTTTAACTACAGGAGGCGGAGGAGGGAGAAAAAGTGGTCGAATGCTATCGATTCTACGTGGTCATTTTGAAGTGATTATCCGCGGCGTCAGTGAGAGGTTTGAGGAGAAAAGTAGAGCTGGAAATGTCCCATTCTTCCCGTCCAGGAAGTAGTCTGTAGCGGTCAGGCGTGCTCGGATGTGTGGCTACTGCTCTGGTCCCATCCTACCGGACCGGACGGGGCTGCGCGTCACAGGGAGACCAACCCGCCCGCCTGCCTCTGCCGTGCTGCCTGTGCGGGGCGGGAGCAGCGGAGGCGGTTCCTGGAGCTGCTGAATGCAGAATGACACGGAGCAGGACCCAGAGGTTTGGTTATGATAAACACTTCAGAAGATTATTCTTTTTTTTTTTAATACCGTGAAGGTCACAAATCCTCTGAGGGATCAGCTGGGCTCTTTAAGATACAGAATCAAACATAATAAATCAAATATTTTTTATAGAATAAGCAGTCACGGCTAAATCCAGAGAATCAAACTCCCACCCTGTCATTTGTTGCTTCCTCCAAGCTCCCATTATTAAAATGACCCCTCCGTGGCCACACACGATGCCCCTTTGCCTCCTGCTGGCAAAATTGTGAATGGAATACTCCAGTAGTAATCATCACCTGGAATAGGCTATCATCATGTGCAAGTCTGTGCCGATTGGAGAATTATGCATCTATTGGTGATACTCCCTTAGGTAAATGTGTAGTCAGTGGTGTTCTTGCAGAACTATCCAGCTGGACATTTAATTTGAGGAATCTGATTAAATTTCTCATTTAATTACCTAGTTCTCTACAGGGCCATTGAGGACAGTCACAAGGGCCCTTTGCTTTTAATGTGGGCCATCTGCTTCCTCTCCAAAATGCCTACCTTTTCAAAGCCCGCACAGCCTCATGGGCATCCTCGTACGATTCTCCAGCCTGCACCACCTCCATGCACGCAGTGAGACACCCACCGTGGTTAACAATTGCTCCAGACCTGATTGTTTTCTCACTCATCATGTGCAATTAACCTGAACCGAGGCTTAGCAATACTTCTCGGTTTTGTTCTCCGTCTTGTTCTGTCAGACGCCACAGAGCGAGGGCAGTTCTTTGATTTATCAGGCAGACTCCAAAAGTGTTTGTGCAGTGGACCCAGAACACTGACCCCCTGTGTAGCTGTAAATCTCCCCAGACCAATAGATCATAACAGAACACTGTAAATAGCCCACATTTAAAGCTCCATTTTTCAAACATCAAAACCAGTGATAAGATGAACTTTCTAGGTTTTGAAATCAGATTGGACTTTTGTACCATTTTCTATAAAACTATTTTTTTTCCATAGATGAAAGTGGAAGATTGAATAAGGATGGAGAGTGGTAATAATACGACTCAGTCCTAACTTCATGGTCAAAACATTACCTTCAGCATTCTCTGCAGTGTCCCTCTTTCAATAAAATTACTTTTCATGTTCTGGGAGTATGTTAGCTTCAAAAACTCGGTGGTTTAAATTTAATTAAGATGCAGTAAAATTAGAGAACCACAATCACCTAAAGGTTATTGAACCAGTCAGTCAAAAAGTTTGCCTCAGAGCAAAAGTGGAGACATACAGTGACACGTACGAAGGTTGTGAGAAGCTAAATGAGTAAAGGATAAACCGACCTCCAAAAGGCAAATTAACTTCTTTTAATGCAAAACGAAGGAATTCCGCTTCATTAGTCTGAAAATACAGAAACGGGTCATAGACAAAAGGGTTTTAGCACCTAACAGAGTTTTTAAAAATCACCAATAGACATTATTAGAATCGTTTTATTACTAACATTTACCAACATGTTTGAAACATGAGCAAATGATGTGTTTTATTAAGGCCAGCATAAATGTATTTAATAAATGCCTAAAATGACCCTCAGCTTTAGGGAACCAACTGTTTCTCCTAAAGGATGGAGGGTGAATAACAGCCCATGAGCTGGAAATGGATGGTTTCACAAAAATAACCAATTATTAAAAAGTAGCAGTTCCATTGATTTGTAAGGTAATGGGTGGAGATCAAGGTGAAGGGTGGCTGTGTCGGACTGCCATGGGGGTGGGGGGGTGGGGGTGGGGTGGGGGTGGGGAGTGGGGGTTCAGCCCCATTATGCCTCCCACCAGGACATACAGAAAGATAACCAATGGGACCTTCCTGGGTGAATAAAGGCCAACATAATAAACACAGCAATTAAAGTCACAACGACAAATCTACATAACAAGCTAGCAAACTCTAACATTTGTCCAAACACTTCCGCCATTAACACGGACCATCCGGTTGTCGATCTCACCAAACCACCGCACTCCCCTGGATCCTCCATTCATTGCCCATTTTCGCATTTAGCAACACCACTGGAGTGAGTAGTGTACTACCACTTCAACTTTAGGACAAAGTACCAGAGTCCCAAAAAGAAAAAAACCAATTCGAAGCCATGGACAACAAAATATGTTTGGACCTGGAAAACCGTGACTGGTGTTTTGTGCTTTCTCATTTCCTCGGGAAATGTGGGTTCCGGTATCGAGTCCGTGGCCTGATAGCTGACGGGAGGGGTGAGAGTTCTGTGACCATGTTTGCATTAAAAGTTAGCTTGTTTTGCAAATTTGCTATTGCAGCTTTAATAGCAGAGATGTTAAAGCAGAAAGCAAATATTTGAGTGAACTGTTTAAAAATCTGGTAATAAAAACCAGTACCTGGACAGAAACCAAAACCTTACTAGTCATTTACAGAAAATGCTTCCTGCAATCTTGTCACCTATTCATTACCTATTTTATTATCAACGTTTTGCTAATGATTAACTAATGAATTTCAGTTTTGCTTTAAGCCAAAATATGGGACTGACATGTGTATATACGCACTTAGAGAAATGGTAAACTGGTATAGAAATAGCAATTCTTCTGTCCTTATGTGTTTTATTGATGCTTCTAAGGCTTTTGATCGTGTAAACCACAGAAAACGTTTTAAGTTAAAGCAACGGGGGGTCCCTGGGTTTATCGTGAGAATCCTGTCTTACTGGTATGCTCATCAGATGATGCAGGTTAAATGGGGTGGCAACATCTCTGCACCATTTGGTGTTAGTAATGGTGTTAGGCAGGGTGGAATTCTGTCTCCTGTTATATTTAATTTGTATGTTGATGATCTGTCAATGCAGCTGAGAGCCTGTAACACAGGATGTTTGATGGGTAAAACTCTGATCAACCATCTGATGTATGCTGATGACCTAGTGGTCTTCAGTCCAAGTGGTGCTGGTTTACAGCAGCTCCTAAATATCTGTTCTGAATATGGTGTGCAGTACGATATCCAGTATAATGCTCTTAAAAGTGCTATCTTGATATGCAGAACCAAGCAGGATAAAAAGCTAAACTTTCCTGTGTTCAAACTGTCTAATAGTGATCTTAATGTGTGTGAGAAGGTGAAATACCTTGGCCACTTTATAACTGATCAAATGCGTGATGATGCTGACATCCATAGACAGTATTGTAAGCTGTACGCACAGGCCAATACCATAGCTCGTAAGTTTAGTTTTTGTTCACCTCCAGTTAAGGTGGCTTTATTTAAAGCATATTGTACTCCGCTCTACACAGCCAAACTGTGGTCATCCTACAATCCAAGCAGCATGAATAAGCTGCAAGTTGCATACAATGATGCCTTAAGAATCATACTCAAAATACCCAGAGGGGGCAGTGCCAGTCAGATGTTTGTAACGGCAGGCATTTGCATTTTTAAAGCTCTTTTAAGAAAACTAAGATTCACTTTTAGAGAATGACTGGATAGCTCTGCCAACAGTATAATTTTAGCAATCATTGATCCTGCTGTGAGCAGTTGTTGCTATTTGTCCAGTATAAGGAAACACTGGTTGAAGTGTTTGTGTGGTTACTCTTAATTGTGTGGAAAATCTTTATAGTAAGTTTTTAAAATAGATTTAGATTTGTATTTAATTTTATGCTTTTCTTTATTTGTTCTATTTGTTTTTACCTATTTTGTTTTATTAATTGTTTTGAATGTTTTGTTGTTTTATTTATATTTTATCTGGATCTAAGAGTCTGTCAATAAAGATGATCTATCTCTATGAAAAAATATCACAAGGTTCAAATTCCCTGTGGAAGTAAGAAGATCTGTTTGAAGAAAAATGGTTTAGGAAGTTCATGGAAGTGCTCAGACATGGATCAGTCAAGCTTTGTTTTGTGTTGCAATGCGTTCACACAGAACTTCCATTGATAGGTGGAAGAATGGATTCAAGGACAGTACTGTGCAATATTCCTGATCCATCCCCCGTGTTTTTGTTTCCAAGAGGCCAGACTCAGTAATTATTTTAAGAGGTTCTGACCAATGGTTCTTCAGGAGGTCTTTCAAAGTGAATTTTCAAACTTTGGCTTTTTTTAAATATCTTTTACTCATTTCGAGTCCAGTATTTGAACATTTTCACTGAAATACATTTGGGTTTTGTTTTTTAAGCTACTTTGATCATTCAGACATAAACTTGTTTCAAACTCAAGGGATGGACCACTGTTTTACTCACACGCAACAGACAATTTAGCTAAAAGAAACAGTTTTATTTGGATCTCTAGACACTTTGCTAAAAGCAGCTCTTCATTAGGTAAAATAAAAGTTAACATAATGATTTATATTAATGAGTGAAAAATACTGAAGAGGCTTAAACCTGGTTTACAGTAGATGGTTCATTTCTCTCCATTCCTCTTACATCTAGCTACCATCCTGCTATAGACAGTTTATAACACGTTTACTATTTTGTACGCTTTTTTATAAGAGCATGCTGCAACATATGTGAAAAATATGAAATCTTAGGCCAGACCTTGGAAAAGCATCACATTCAACAAGGCCCAACATGAAGCCCAACTGTTAGCTTTTTGCAACGACAACGGTTTGAAATCTCAAGAACTGAATCTGAAGAAGAGTTTCAGCCGGCAACAAAAAAGTGTTTACTTTCTTTGATACTTGCCAGAGGGAGGTGCTATCAAGTACTGACTGCACTAGCTTTAGCTTCAGGCACTTTTACAATTTTGCTTAATACATTAAAACTTTATGGTTTTTTTTTTTTTTTTTTTTCGTTTTTGTGTTTTTTAAATCAGGTCCTGCCTTTCTGGCCCAGGAAAACGGAAACCTCAAGAAAAACTTTCAAATACGACTGCATCTTTTATTTTCTCTCAAAGCTTGGAACTGTTTTTACCAAAATGTGATCTCCGGCTTTTAGATTCAATAAAAAGGATGGCAGAGTTCTGCCGTCTGTGTGT